ACAATCTGGCCTCTGAAGCTGAGAAGGCAGCAGGCAAAAGTGACCTTAGGACATTACATCAGATAACCAAGTCTCTTTCCGGGAAGAGATCAACACAAGTGAAACCGATAGAAGACAGCCAAAGTAACCCAATTATCAAGGAAGAAAGACAGATTAAACAATAGGCGGATCACCTCAATCAAGTCTTGAGCAGACCGCCACCCGCAAACCGTCCAGAAATATCCACAACAGCGCGTACACAACTGCAAGTCAACAGATTTTGAGAGAACAGACTTTGATACTACATTCATTGGGATGAGAGCACATATTGACTTATTTTCAATATGATAAAATTATTAATGTATATGTTGAAAAATGTGCACAAAAGTTCATCCTGGGTATTTTCATATTATCAGACGTATATTTGTAATTGCATGGTGATACTTGTTTAGTCAGACATTCACCAGCAGTCTGTCGGTTGTTATCTACAATAAGTTTGTTGAAAATGAATTGTTCGGATCAATGTTCAACACCAACTCTCATTCATTGAAGTGTCAAATAGTCAATATGCCGATATTTCTATACGTTCAAAGGTTTGGTGTGCAATATCCGATTGTAAAAGAGGTTGAAAAATGTAGCACTCACCCAACAAATTGATGCTGTTAAAAAAAATTTAAGCACAAATTTGAAAGAAATTTAGATATAAAAACTGGGTATTTATCTCAATACATTGGTGAAATATCGAATCACTTGCCATTTCATTCTCCCTCTCTGGGAGGACATATCCATACAGTGGATATCACTATTTCACAATACTAGTTTGTGTCACTGCACAACGTTTTCATAATTTGATGTGCCTATGCAGATTGGTTCTGTACACCTATTGAATTTCATTTACGAATGGTGAACTGAAACACTCTGTTCAGAAACCAGTCTTATGATCGACAATAATGTTTAAATAACATCCAATCAATAATATTGATAAATTACAGCTGAACAGCATCAACATAAAATAAACTGAATGTCAGAAGAATTAGGAAAGGTAATAGTACAAATTCATGAGTTTATAGTTTCTACTGAGGGCCAGGGGAGTAGTAGGGACTGGACTTGTTTCTTTTGAACACAGAGCACTGGTTGTTTGAGGTGAATTGCAATAGCCTCTGCTGTTTCGAGCAAGCGGTTCTTCGAAGATTTTGGTAGTTTGTTAGGCATCCGGTATATTATGGTGAAGGATCCATCTAGGCTGGCTTTGTGACCGGTTTGCAACAGATGGTCTAATATCGAGCTCTTAATAGTTTTAAATACACCTTACCTTAGCCATAGTAGGATATGTTCTCGAGGACGATATTATTGAAATTTAAACGTGAAATAGTCCATTTAATATAAATTTATTCTGATAAACTAACTTCATATTTCTCTTTTGTAAAAGAAGTTTAGTAAATTCATGCACAAAATAAAAGAAATTAGAAGGAAACTACTGAGCTACAAAGACAATACATTGGTAAAATAACGAATCACTTGTCATTTCATTCTCCCTCTCTGGGAGGACATATCCATACAGCGGATATCACTTCTTCACAATACTAGTTTGTGTCACTGCACAAAGTTTTCATAAATTTTTGTGACTATTCAGATCGGTGCTTTACACCATTTGAATTTCATTTACGAATGATGAACTGAAACACTCTGTTCAGAAACCAGTAACATCCTCACAGACTCTGTGATGGTCGCATCTATTTGTGATTGGCGTGATTGGCTACTGACGAGGCGGACGAGAGATTGAAAACGAAAGAAGACAGAAACTTCTATTCTTGACTGCAGGAGGTGACGTCTGGATTTGAGAGGGATAAGACAACCTAGAAGTGAATACAACCATGTCTGACAGTATGCTGACTGTGCAGAGCAACACTGGTTTCTGCTCACACTATGTGGTTGGTTCATTTGAATTCTGGTCTCCACACAACTGACTTCCACAAATCGCCTGCATTACAATCTACTGAGAGATCGGGTGTTCCGTTATGGGCACAGAGAGTTACGCCTACCCGAACTTTTTACAAAGGCACAGTTTGAATTTACTCAGCATGTCTCGAATGTCATTTCACACCTTATCTGTATCCTCATATTCAACATATTTAAATTTCCCAACTCTGACGCCTATTTCTGTTGCATCTGCCTAGTCAATTTTATTCACTGTTTCAGTTTGTTCATGTCAGCATTCGTCAGTTGGTCTATGTCACGTCGGTTGAAACACTTTCTCGTGAGTGTATCTTGACTCTCCGTAATATTACAATGTATGTATATTTAGTCAACAGATCTTGAGAGAACAGACTTTGATACTACATTCATTGGGATGAGAGCACATATTGACTTATTTTCAATATGATAAAATTATTAATGTATATGTTGAAAAATGTGCACAAAAGTTCATCCTGGGTATTTTCATATTATCAGACGTATATTTGTAATTGCATGGTGATACTTGTTTAGTCAGACATTCACCAGCAGTCTGTCGGTTGTTATCTACAATAAGTTTGTTGAAAATAAAATTTTAGTGTCCATGTTCAGACACCATGTGCCATTCTCTAAAATGTCCATGAATCAGTTTATAATTAATTAGATTTTCTCCAAAATTAACTCTCTAAATTTTACAATATATTTCGTTGTGATAAAATTTACTTACTCTTTGGTGCATGTCCGACTACAATTAAGATTAAATGAAAACATTTCAAAGATATTTAACATTAAACGACTGCCTATTTATGTCAATACATTGGCTACATAACGAATCACTTGTCATTTCATTCTCCCTCTCTCGGAGGACATATCCATACACAAATTCAGCAGTGATTACAACTGTGTCTAACAGTATGCTGACTGTCCATTGCAACACTGGTTTATTGCAGTTGACCTAGACTTTCGGTTATTGTCCTAGCAATGATATCAGTTTGTTCCAGTTGCATTTTTCCTTCGTCGCAATTTTAGTGGTTATGCCTAATAAATATTTCATTATTTAATCGACAGTACATTGGATAACGTGAAAATTCTTCTATCAATCTCTAATGTATGTATATACATGTGTGTTCGTGAGGTTTCGATAGTTCAGTGGACTTTTGTAAGTTTGTCCTGAATTGCTTCCATCTGAGTATTCCTAATGTCTACAATGTCTGCTGTTGTCATAATCAACCAATTTCATAGAATAAATCAGAAACACATATGTGTGAACTCAAATTACGCAGCTCAATATAACTTATGTGAATCAGTTTAACTTTGACATCATTATGGTTTCAATAAAGTGATAAATACATTTAAAATGTGGTACGCCAATAAGAGGAAACTGCTTTGAATATGTCAAATTCTACTTAAAACAATATTGTACTTACATGCTTCGCTTGGCTTGATGAATATTGTGAACGCTTGGACAATCAGTAACAGTAGAAAGAACTTCTTCATCATCATCATTATCATCATTTTCTTTTCAGCTAACGTGTGAGCAAATAAAAACAAGCCTTTATATAGTCTATTCATTTGCCAAATTTACACTTGGCACGTGTAAGACCATCATAACGCTTTCTCAAAGCAATCCAAAGTGCATCCCTATTCTTTTTGAGTGTCGCATGATAACAATTACAATTATAATCATTTATCTGTTTATTTTGTGTTTTATTTATAAGGTCACCGTAATCAATGAATACTAGCGTAACAAAGAATAGATGAGGTGATTCCAATCACCTTACATTTAATAATAATAATAATAATAATTTTTTGCCTTATTCCAAAAACAGTATTAATGATACAGCAAGGAGTTTTCAGCATTCAGTACAGTATTGCATCTAATTTACTCAAAAACGACAACAACAAAAAAAAAATAGATAAACGGAATAATTAATACATAATAATGATAACAAAACGTTTTCATAGGAGCTATGTAGCAATTACAGTATAGGATAAGGAGAAAAATATAAAATTATAGTAATAATAGTAATAACAACTAAAATAAAAATAGCAAAGTTATAATTAAACGATAGAAAGGGTGACACCATAGAATTACAGAAAGATGAACAATGAAAGGGTCGATTCACTATGCTAATTACATAGTAACTTATATGTTTCACGTCTAACAGTGTCTTCATCACATAAAATACGGGCTAAATACGGTATTGTAGAATTTTTGTACTTAGTGGTACGAGCATATAACTTCTTATATTGACTTCTCGTTCTACCTGATGAGATACAAGGGGATAGTTGTGAATAAAGAGGGTGCAAAGGGTCCAACAGTACGGCCTTTGCCCAATTTGTACAGGAATTTACGTGTCTCTCGACTATAGTATTGGCGAGCTCACGCAGTGGCAAACCACAAGAGCTACTCACAGCATTTAATACCCTTCGTAATACGGCATAGTCTTTTTTAAGAAGCCCAGGAAAGATTAATGGAGAACAGTAAAGTACAATAGGTAAAATACAGGAGTTTAAAAATTGCAGAACTAAAGGTTGGCTGATACCTTGTTGTCTTAACTTTTTAATGTAGAAGGTAAGACGAAACATTTTCTTAGAGATCAATAAAATGTGGGATGACCATGAAAGGTCAGAGGAAAGAACTAATCCAAGGTATTTAATGCTTGACTTGGTTTCAATTTCTGTGCCATCTATGCTACAGGCATCATGGGAACTAACTAGTTCATGTATGTCACGTCGATGGTTGAAGGTAAAGTTAACTGCCTGACATTTGGAAGGATTTAACATAAGACCATTTGACTTAGACCACATGCTGATGTCCAACAGAAAGCTATTAAGTTTGGAGCAGTCAGACTCAGAAGTGATAGGCAGTGATACAGTCAGATCATCAGCATATTTGACAAAATTGGTTTCGTTTAAATGTGGCAGGTCATGTAGGAAGAAAGAAAAAAGAAAGGGAGAGAGGACGGCACCTTGAGGAACACCGGCTTTTGTAAGCAAAGCAGAAGAAGATTTGCCATTATATGCAGTATACTGCATTCTATCAGAAAAATAAGAATGCAACCAACTCTTGGCCCAGGATGCTGTGTGCGTCAAGGAGAGCTTATTTAATAAAAGGCCCGTAGGAACAGAGTCAAAAGCAGATGTGTAGTCTAGGAAAGCACCACGAACATATTTGGCACCTTTGTCTAAACAAGAAACAACATTATGATATAAGACAACCGCAGCATCCAAGGTACTTCTACCATGTTTATATGCAAATTGCTTAGGGTCATTAAAAGCTTTCAATGAAGGTTCAAGACGAAGTAAAAGTAGTTTTTCCATCAATTTTAAAAAAGGAGAAGTAATTGCAATAGGCCTAAATTTAATATCGGTACCAGAAGATTGTTTTGGTATAGGGACAATTTTAATGTTTTTCCATGCAGAAGGTAGAACATTACTGGAAAAGGAAGCATTAAAAATATTAGTAAGAGGGTAACACAAAATATCAGCACAGTTCCTGAGGACAATGGCAGGTACGCCATCAGGACCAAGGCTTTGGGAAGGCTTAAGAGAACGGAGACATTTAAGCACATCAAGGGTATTAAAACCACTAAAATTATTGTCTATGTGATTTGTATCATTAGGAAGGATATCGACAGAGGAGCGTATGAAAGACTTATTAAGATTATTAACATTAAGAGATTGGACAGAAGTACACCGCTTACCGCTAGTTATTTCTTTAAAAAGTTTCCATAAACTAGAAGGGGTTTTACATGACAAGAATCTTTGGTTGTATAAAACATTTAGTCTGTGCATTTCGAGTTTTTTCAGAGGATTTAGCTTTTTTACACCTGACTTATCATTTGTTTCGAACAACAGTTCTTTATCTCTACGGAGCTTTTTGAGATATGGAGAAGAGAAACGGTCAAAACGAGTGAATAATGTTTCTTTAGGACAACACATTTCCAAACAGAATTTAAGATAATCTGTGGTGTTTGTGATTGTGTCATTTAATGTTTGTTCTGTAAATAGGTCCCAGTTAGTATCTATCAACATGCATCTGAGTTTGCTTAGATTGTCTTGTGAGTAGCATCTCCGTTGAAATTTACTGTAGAGGTGAGAGAAGACACGTTTGTGTGATTTGGAATATATTTTAGGCAGTGCACGTATGATGCAGTGGTCAGAGTTCAATACAGGAGCACGTTTGCGAGCTTCATATATACCAACATCATTGATGAATACTAGATCTAGTGTTTTTTCGAGACGGGTAGCAAAGTTAACAATATTGTCATGGCCAAGTGATATAAGGAAGGAGTGATCACAAGAGTTAAAATCGCCAGTCACTATTGATAAAGAGTTCTCGAAGCAAGCTGCAGCAAAAGCGGTGAATTCATCTGCGAACATAGATAAATCCGAAATGGTACAGCCAGGAGAGACATAAACATTAGAAATATAAATGAATTTGTATTTTGACAAGTGTCTCGGGCGACATCTGACAGTGATGCAATCAATGTAGTCATTCGAGAATTTGAAACAAACGTTGTTAGAAATAGACCATTTTGAGTGAATAAATGTAGCTACTCCTCCGCCGCATTTTTTCTTGGAACAAACACGGTCTTGTCGGAATACATTAAAATCATTTAAAGATGCTATATTGTCATCATATGAGTCATGAAGCCAGGTTTCTTGTAGAGTTACAATACCAGTATTATGATAAGTTTAGGATAACAACAGGGACTGAAAATCCAGAATTTTGTTAGGCAGTGACCGACAGTTGGTACTAACGATAACCGGAACAGTAGTTTGATGTATGAGTGTAGATTTTAAAGCACGTTGCCAAACACCATGGTGCTTTTTCTTGAGTTTATTGCAAATATGAAAGTTTTTAGGTTTTAAGCATTTTATATAATCCCGAGAGTGAATGATACGATTAAAATGCATAATTTTAAATGTAAACACCAACAAAATATGAGTAAATAGATGCAAAATGTACATGGAATATGGTAGCCCAAAATGTTCAAACACGCCGCCAAGGTCTACATAATTTTTAAAAACGGCATATAGATAATTTTCAATGGTTTGCACATGTGAAAATACTTCCAGCATGAAACCTCTGAAGCGTAATGGATTCGTAAAGGGATAGCTTAACAAACATATCAATTTCTCAAATCATTTAGAGGATGAGTAAAATAATAAGGTCTGGGATTTGAAACACTGGCAGTTGAAGTTAGACAATATTCTTTTCTTTTACACAGGACTGTCAGGTCTCTTAGTCTATGCCTGAATATATTATTCGCGAAATATACCCATTAGGACATTGAAATAAGAACAAATTAGTTCAGCGAAGAGTCTCTTTTCGGCGAATTCATTCACTTAGCTGCACAGTCACAAATATATATACAATTATTTTGTGTGTGTGTGTGTACATTAGGTTTGTCAAAATCAAAATAACAGTTAGTGTGGGTTGTTGATTATATCATCAAGATAATGAAGAAGTTAAAATGTGTGATTAGTACTCGAAGTTGTAACTAAGTGGGGTGAAGATTGGTAAGATGTGAGTAGGGTTACATAATGTGGACATGTTTAGAAAGATTAGATGCTAGTGAAGGAGTTTGGAGACAATTATGAAAATGAACTAGATAATAGGTGAAAAGATTGAATGGGTTAGTTACTAAATATTGTTATACGAAAATTGCAAAAAATTTGATAACAAAATGTTGATGACAAATAAACTTGGAATTAAACCCACGGTAGTAGGAGGGGGTGGAGAAGTTTCTTCTGTGTGCATAACTCAAGCTTTTCCATCCAAATCGCTAAGGCTTCAGCAATACGAAGTATACGGAAGCTTGTCGATTTTGGAAGGCTTCTTTTGACTTCATAGATGATTTTGAACGAATTCTCCTTGCAAATCGAATGACCAGTGTTGAGTATATGCTCAATAATGTCGCTGCTTATTGCTCCTTATCACCGAGACGATTTGTTTTCTATGCAAATACTTGGAAGAAAACAACCTGGATATTGGAATACCTACCACCAAGCTAAAAGAACTCCTACTCAGATGTACCCTAAATGTCCAGTTCACATTCAATGGGAACTTCTATAGACAAAAAGATGGAGTGGCGATGGGATCACCTTTGGGTCCGGTGCTGGCTGATATTTTCATGGCAAGTTTGGAAAATGGTCCGCTGAAAGCAACCATCGACAAATTCTTCTTATACAAAAGGTATGTCGATGATACTTTCATCGTCTGCGATCACAATTGTGATCAAAACATTGTTCTTCAAGTTTTCAATAGTTGCCACCCTGCCATCAAATTTACAATCGAAGTAGAAACCAATGAGACAATCTCCTTTCTGGACGTTCGTCTAAGTAAGAAGACTGATGGTACCTTGAACAGATCAGTACACAGAAAACCTACATGGAACGGGCAGTTGACAAACTTCTACAGTTGGGTACCAATAAGTCGCAAGCGAAATTTCATAATATCTCTGGCGACTAGAATCCGAAAAATCTGTAGTCCAGAATCAATAGAGGAAGAGATCGCCCTCTTAAGGAAGACACTGCTCGAGAATGGCTACCCACCCGGTTTTATAGACAAGCACATTAAGCCTAAGACGTACAAAGAACAACCCATTACAGTGCAGAAGAAGATGGTCTACATGAATGTACCCTTCAAAGGTGACCTTCTGGCTGACACCTTGAAGAAGAGGATATCTACTGCTCTCAGAAGGACATTCTTCGCTGCCACACTACGACTGACATTTTCCTCCCGGCCATTGTTCTTCAACTACTCTAAAGATAAACTATCGCATTTGACCACTTCCTTGTGTATCTACCAATTCACCTGCTCTTGCGGAGCGAGGTATATAGGTCGTTCGATGCGTGTTTTATCTAAAAGAGTTCAAGAACACTATCCCGCCTGGCTACGGAAAGGTAACAACGGAGCAATAAGGAGCGCCATTATTGAGGATATTGTAAGATTATTTTTGTCCTACAGATTTAGTCCTTCCTCAATACTGATGACACAGAGTCTGGGCTTAACTATAGTTAAAACAGAATGACTTGACTTTAACTTTATCTGTTTCTAAATCATAAAATAAATCATGCAATTACACCAAGAAAAATGTACAAATCCACTGTCATTACAAAAATAGGACAGAAACGTACCGAACAGTATTGAGGGTACGGACAAAATGAACAGTCAACTAATTACATGTATACACAAATAGAGTGACAGACAAAAAAGAACATTCAAGGTCATCACGTGGTGAGAGTTACAATAAATTGACCAATAATCGCGACAAGAAGGTCACATCATATTGATTAACTGTCTATCACATACTCTATCTATCTGTCGCGATTAACACTCCTCGCGAACGATCACCACGTTGACTTTTCGTACGCTTCTTATATCTTGCTCCACTTCTTGAGTTGAAGTTTTCAAACACAGTGTCCTGACGTGGCCATCTTGGTCATAGTACATCTGCTTAACTATAGCCTTTCGCCAGAGACCTCTCTGTGTGTCAGCACTGTTAACTAAGACGAGATCATCAGGTTGTAGGTTGTGCTTTATATCCTACCACTTAGATCTTGTTTGCAGCATCAGAAGATATCAACGTAGCCATTTATGCCAGAGCAAATCAGTCAAATATTTTGGAAGTAGTTGACTATAGTGTTGGAAGAAAGCATATCCATACATAGCATTCGCTTTACCTTTGTAATATTGTAATTTTCTTAAGAATTCACCAATTGTTGAACGAGCCGCAGTTAAAAGCCTTTTTGGAACGACTACTTCATCTGTACGTACCATAAAATCGTCAGCTTCAATCAAAACTCGCAGAATCGCATAACAAGCACAGTAATGTGCTTGACACCATGATCCAATGTCATCAGCATTTTCTGCTGGAGAATAAAACTCCATGGAAGTTACAACTGAAGGAATCATTGACAACCAATTAATATAGACTACATCTGAGACATCGCCTTGAGCACAGTCGGTATTCAGACCGAACTGCTCCAGAACAAGAGGTAAATCAGATAAATAAATTCCAACGCACTCAGCTTGACACTTGTCTATTGCAGATGAAAGGTTTAAAAACTTGCTGTCATACGTTTCTCCTGGTTCACACCAAGCTTTTACAGGACCTCCATTTATGATATATTCAGTAGT